TAGAAGTTATTCGGTACGCCGCCGCTTTCTCCGTATGTGTTCTTCTGCAATTGTGATACAAAGAACCTTTCGCCACTTCCTGGTACGACGAAGTCGAGACTGTGCGGCGAGATGTATACAGTCACACTTCAGAAACTATTCGGTACGCCGCCGCTTTCTCCGCATGCGTTCTTCTACAATTATGATACAAAGAGCCTTTCGCCACTTCCTGGTACGACGAAATCGAGACTGTGCGGCGAGACGTATACAGTCACACTTCAGATGTTATTCGGTACGCCGCCGCTTTCTCCGCATGCGTTTTTCTGCAATTGTGATACAAGGAGCCTTTCGCCACTTCCTGGTACGACGAAATCAAGACTGTGCAGCGAGATATATACAGTCACACTTCAGAAGCTATTCGGTACGCCGCCGCTTTCTACGCATGCGTTCTTCTGCAATTATGATACAAAGAGCCTTTCGCCACTTCCTGGTACGACGAAATCGAAACTGTGCTGCGAGATGCATACAGTCACACTACAGAAGTTATTCAGTACGCCGCCGCTTTCTCCGCATGCGTTCTTCTGCAATTATGATACAAAGAGCCTTTCGCCACTTCCTGGTACGACGAAATCGAGACTGTGCGGCGAGATATATACAGTCACACTTCCGAAGCTATTCGTTACGCCGCCGCTTTCTCCGCATGCGTTCTTCTGCAATTGTGATACAAAGAGCCTTTCGCCATTTCTTGGTACGACGAAGTCGAGACTGTGCGGCGAGATGCATACAGTCATTCTTTCGAACTTATACGGAACATCGCCGCTTTCTTCGCATACGCTCTTCAGCGATTGTGTTGCAATCCGCATTCCGCCGTTTCTCACTTCATCGACGTAGACGGGCTGCGACCTGCATACAATCATTCTTCCGTTCGTATAAAGCCCGTCGAAACTTTTTGCATCTTCGTTCGGCTGCGATCGTTTTACAATCTGCATTCCGTCGTATTCGTGATTCAAGGCTCCATAAGGCAGCTAGGATGGAGTTTGTTCTTAAGGAGCAGGCTGCAATCTGCCTGCAAGCTCATATTCGGGGTTATTTAGCACGTCGTCATCTGCAAGTGCTCCGTCGTGCTTATTTACAACGATTAGAGCTATCTGTTGTTAGGCTACAACGTGCCTGGCGCCTATCACTTCTTTATAGACGTCTGAAGCGCAAAGCTTATGCTGCGACCAAAATTCAGGCTGTTTGGAAAGGCTATTATCTTCGAAAGGAGTTGAGGCTATTAGCTAACATGTCGGTTAACGCCCATTGTGCTGGTAACCGAGGCTCTATCACAGGCTCCTATTTTAAATCAGCTATTCCTAGACTTGACCGACCTGGTATTATCTATAAGAGGAAGGTTTGTCAAATTAAATCCTTATCTTTTTTTGTCCTCATTTTATTTTTCGTTATTTTGACTTTTGGTTTGACTTTGGTTTCATAATTTGGTCAGGTTTGCATAAAAACCTCTATCATTTGCATTTGTATTAATGATAATTTCCAATATAGGACCGTTTACCTAATATATTCTCAGACGTTTCACAGTTATCCTAATCTGCATCTAATGATAGCTTCTATTTTTAGCACCGAGATACGCCTTATCAATGATCTGTCACTTTGAGATCATACCAACTCAATACGATTAAAGCGGAATCGAACCAAACATAAGGCCACATTATTTGACCTTGTTTTCGCAACTCGGTCATATTAGTAGGGAGACTTAGAGGAACGCACCTTGTCCGGAGTCCAGTGTATGAATCATCATTTCCACAGTAGGACCGTGTACGTAGTACATTCCCAAACGTTTCGCCGGCATCGTCAGTGGGTCTTGCCATTCTTAGCACCATTCAACAACTCGTCAAAGAGACAAGGGAAGCGCATCCTTTGACCAAACGTGTGTAAAACAGTTTTGTTATCTCCCCTACTGCCATGGGCTATTCACATTTCCCATATCCTCCTATAACGCTTTCACTTTTAAAATTTTTAACCGTGCCTATTTCGACGTAGTGTGGTGCGCTCCTTTGAGCGGCTTTCATGAAAACCATTCACACTCCACACTGTCGTTCTCACCCCCTTCACTCTTGT